GCTGCTACTACTAAAATCTTTCTTTTTCTCTTTCATTATTGAGGTATGATTTACCTAAAATAAAATGCATTGATTTCAAGCATTTGGATGAATTTTGACAATTGTGTGAGTGACTACCACACTCAAGATTTAAAGAAAAAAAAATGCTTCCGTCACCTGAGAACATTCCCTGTGCCCTTTTTCTTTTTCTTTTTTTTAATTGTCTTTGTCACAATATCTTTATTTTATTTTTATTTTATTTATTTATTTTTATGTGTTGCTGATGATCAAACCCAGGGCCTCGCACCTGCTAGGCAAGTGCTCTACCGCTGAGCCACAATCCCAGCCCCTGGTACCCCTTTTCAATCACCTTCCTATCTCAAAGCAACTACTTTCTGGCTTCTGTCTCCATGGGTTAGTTTTCCCTATTCTTGTACTTTGTGTAAATGCAATTTTATAGTCTGTAGTCTTTTATATCTGGCTTCTTTTGCTGTGTTTGTTATCTATGTTCATTGCTTTTTATTGCTGAGTAGCATTTCACTGTATGGATATACCATAGTTTGTGTATCCATTGTTCTGTTGTTGTTGGGTTATTTCCAGGTTGGAGCTTTTAAAAATAAAGCATCTATAAATATCCTCATACTAGTCTTTGTATGGACAGATGTTTTCATTTCTCTCAAGTAAATATCTGCAGTGGACTTGCTGAGTCACAGGGTAGATATAAGCTTAGCTTATAAGACATTGCCAAACATTTCTCTAAGGCTATAAGGCAATGGTAGCAGTAAGATTTTTTTTTTAATTTTAATATTTATTTATCGGCGGACACAACATCTTTGTTGGTATGTGGTGCTGAGGATCGAACCCCGGCCGCACGTGTGCCAGGCGAGCGCGCTACCGCTTGAGCCACATCCCCAGCCCTTTTTTTTTTTTTTTTTTGGCAGGGGAGGCTGTCTCAAAAAATAAAAAAAGGGCTGAAGTCGCAGCTCAGTGGTAGCACGCCTCTGGGTTTAATCCCCAGTATGGACCAAAAATTTAAAAAATTTTTTTAAAAAAGTTTTGATTTATTTTGTTTTTTGGTCACCCCTCACCCACTTTTTTCTTTGTGGTGTGGGGGATTAAACCCAGGGCTTTAGCTGGGCCCACCTGTAATTCCAGCAGCTCCGGAGGCTGAGACAAGACGATCATAAGTTCAAAGTCAGCCCAGGAACTTAGCAAGGCCCTAAGCAAAATAGTAAGACCCTGTCTCTAAATAAAATATATGAAGGGCTGGTGGTTAAGTGCCCCTGAGTTCAATCCCCAGTTCCAAAAAATAAAAAAATAAAAATAAATAAACCCAGGGCTTTGTGTACACAGCCCCTCCCTTTATTTTTGTCATTCACTGTTAAACTCTGGTATGTCCTAAGCACATTTTCTTCTATTCTTCACTGCAAATATAGATTGTAAACCTGTGGCCAAGTCAGCTATTTATCAAACCCAAGATAACTCCTCTTAAACACTTTGTTCTTTGAAGAATAGGTTTCAAAATGTGTCTTCTAACTTGTAAAGGCCTTTAATAATATTTTTTACTGTAGTTACTTTGTATTTTTGTAATGGTTTGAAATTTTTTCCTCTACTTATTCCAGTTTACCTGCCTGTGAGCTTTTTAAGCATATAAAGAAGAATCCTAAGTATCATATTTAATATGTCTACTATAGACCCTATCTTCTGCACTTTGAGATAGGGTCTTCTACTAATTTGAGAACAAATATAGTCATTCTGTTTTTTAGTTGGTGTTTTTGTTTGTTGGTTTGGGTTTGGTTTTTTTGGTACCAGAAATTTTTTTATTTTGAGACAGGGTTTCACTAAGTTGCTTAGAGCTTCACTAAGTTGCTGAGGCCACCTTGAACTTGCAATCTTCCTGCCTTGGCCTCCTGAATCACTGGGATTACAGATGTGTGCTACCATACCCAGTTCTCAAATATAATCCTTCTGGAAGCATTAATACATTTCTCATTACCTGAGGGCTTGAACTCCTCAGTTAAAATCTGCCATGTGTCTGTTAGTCGTACTACCTTCTGCAGGCTTCCTAACCTCTCTGAGCATTGCTTTTCTTATTCCTGATATGAATAATGAGAATGGTCTCTTAAATGAGGTAATGGATGTAGAGTAGATGTTAGTTTCATGTTGCTGCCATACAAACTTAGGAACAATACAAGTTCATGATCTTACAGTTCTATAGATCAAAAGACTGATATAGATCCCACCAACGGGTTGGCAGCGCTATGTTTTTTCTGCAGGTTGTAGAATAGAATTCATTTTCTTGCTATTCCCAGCTTCTAGAGACTGCTGCATTTCTTGGCCCCTGGCCCCCTTCCTCTAACTTCAAAGTCAGCAACAGTGGGTACAGTCCCTTTCACACCTCTTTATCTCTAGTTCTCTGCAGCCAGGAAAGCTTCTCTGATTTCAAGGATTTGTGTGATTAGATTGGGCTCACCTATGTAATTCATTGTAACCTCTCCTGTCTCAAGGCCCTTAATAACTGCCTCTGTGGCACAGTAGATAATGCACTGGACTTTCAGCCAAATCTGCAGTGGCCATTTTTTGAGATAGTCCCCCCTGCCAAAAAAAAAAAAAAAAAAAAAAGCCCTTAACTTTAATCACATCTGCAAAGTCTCTTTTGCCACCTAAAATTACATATTTATAGGTTTTAGAGAATTAGGATGTGGACACCTGCAGGGGGCCATTATTCTGCTTGCCACGAATAGTTTAGCATTACACATAGCTCTTTGTAAACCCTCAGTAAGTGGCGGTCATTCAAAGCCCTTGGTGCTCTGTGAGATTTCAAGGTAAAGCTGTGACCCCTGGCACAAGTAATTTACAGTCAGGTGAGTAAATGAAAGAGCTAAGGACAGAAATAATTCTGACCCAGAAAGAGTGAACAGTGATTTGACCAGAGTGTCATGGGAAGGCTAAAGGCCTCAGATCAGCAACTGATCTGGCAAGTTTAAGCAGAGATGTGTCCGTCATGTGCACCTGTGAGGAAATGGGTTTCAACTCAGATGAGAGTATTTACAGGACAAAGAGCAAGGGAATGAGAAGGCAAAGGAATAAACTTTTTTTTGACTAGGCAGTTGGGAGATTAGACTTGACCATATCTCTCAATTTTTTCCACTAGTCCCACTAACTGGACTCATTTGGTTAGTTAGGCAACAGATACATGCCAGGCACTGTGCCTGGCCTTGGGGATTCAGTAAACATAGTCCACAAAGTTTGCTTTCTTAGGGCTGGTGGAAGAAAATAACCACATCACCACAGAGCCATAACACAGTATGACATTAGGAGCCCTTAGGAACATACTTTCTCCCTCTAAAAGACGGGGAAGAAACTACCTATAAACAGAGACTTGAAGAATGAGTTGGTTAAGATGCTTTGGGTCACAAATGACAGCCCAGCTCAAATCACTTTTAAGAAGAATGAACCAGGGGGCTGGGGTTGTGGCTCAGTGGCAAAGTGCTTGCCTTGCATGTGTGCAGCCCTGGGTTCAATCCTAAGCACCACATAAAAATAAAAATAAATAAATAAAATGAAGGTATAAAAAGAAAAAAAGAAGAAGAATGAACTGATTGACTCACTTATTTACTGGAAGGGCAGGAGTAGGTTGGTGCCAGGTTTAGTTACTCTTATTGGTCTCACTCCAATATTTTAGGATCCCTTGGCTAAGCTTCCCCTGCATATTTATTTCACTCTCAAGCTAACTTCCCTCATGATGGCAAAATGAGTGCATAGTTCCAGGTGTCATGTCTATATCCCTTGAATTCAAAGGAAGAAAGACATCTTTTCCATAGACTGTCACCCCAAAATGAAAAAAACACCATTTGCAGAGGCTCCCTCCTAGTACCTGTTCCCCATTGCGTCTGATAGGGGTCACAGGTTCATTTCAGAACCAATCCCTATGGCAAGTGTCTGCCACGTCCTATTTGGTTTAGGCCTAAGTCCCTGAACCCATTACTGTGGCAAGAACAATGAGTTTGTGCTTCCTGAAATATATATATCTGATTTGAGGCAGGGAGATAATTACGAAATGTAAATCAGGGTGCTATTAGAAAAGAGGGAAGGTGAAGAAACAGAACAGTATTTAGGAATGCCTAGTGACTTCTTCTCTCCCACCATGTGAGACTCAGTCTGTTCTCTGTACCTTCTGCTTATTCATGGATACTCTGTCTTCATAACCCTAACCTTGCCATTATTTCTCCCTGTGCATGCTTTCAACTTCAGCATTTCTCTGCATTTCTCAATTCAAATCCCAAAGATAAAAACTCTGGCCCAGTTTACTTTACTGCACCAGGCTTCAAAAGATCTGAGACTGGTATACTGTCATGTCTAGTACCCAAATAGTACCTCGTTTGTAGTACATACTTGATAAATATAAGTAAACAAATGAAAGATTATTCTTCTAGTTATTTGGCCGCCTTTGTGTCAGATGCTCCTCTGAGCAAATTTTCTTGGCTGAGGGGCTGTCCCTTGGAGGGACCATTGACATACCCTTCTAGTTGTAGAAGCAGAAATATTTTGGATCTCACTTCTACTACTTACTACTATCTGAACTTCCGTTGACTTTTCTACAAAATGGGATCAGTGAAACCTGTCCTTCAGAGCCCAGAGGTGCCCAGTGACAAGTGAGATTATGAATATGAAAGTACTTTATGTACTGTAGTATGCCAAGCAGTTTAATCAATTCTGGCCACCCACATTCACTCTCAAGCTAACTTCCCTCAGGATGACAAAATGTGTTCAACATGAAGTCAAAGCCCATCATTCTGTGGAAAACACTGAAGATGGGAAGACCAGTTTATGCTCAGGGCGTAGCTCAAGGATAGAGCACTTGTCTAGGATGTCTGAGGTCTTGGTTCAATCCCCAGTATAAAAAAAAAAAAAGGCGAAACAAAACAAAAAGAAAGGCAAGTTTTTCTGCTTAGTTCTACTTCTCCCCAGGAGGATCTCTAACTGGCTCTCTTTTTGTCCCTTGCCATTTGCCTTCCCAGGGTCACTCAGGATGTGTCAACTGTCTGGAGTGGAATGAGAAAGGAGAGTAAGTATGAGCTAGAGAGTTCTGAAGGAGGCGTGAAGAAGCTGAGAGAAGGGGCTTCCTTCTTTTGAGTGAATCTAAGTAAAAAAAAGCTACTCTCTTCTTATGTTTAGGCCATAACTTTTAATACAGTTAAACTATCAATCCCAGTTAGTTGGAAGGGTGGGTGACCATCCAAACCCTAGTTGTTGTTTTTTTGTTGTTGTTGTTTTTACTAGTCAGTGTATTCAAGGATAATGGGAAACTTCTAGTTCTTTGGGTCCCAACTTCTATAAACTGGGAATGTGGGGAGGGGGAGCCTGGGAACTTGAGAAGAAGTCAAAGCCCATCATTCTGCTTGCAGCTTGCTGGCCTCTGGTTCCGATGACCAGCACACGATTGTGTGGGACCCGCTGCACCACAAGAAGCTGCTCTCCATGCATACAGGACACACTGCAAATATCTTCTCTGTCAAGGTGAGCAGGACAAGCCAAAGAGCAAGTGATGGTGTGACTGGGCTGTGGGCATGGTCATGTTGGCATGTGTATGTCTCATGTACCCTCTGGGGTCACAGACCCCCCCCCATGGTCTGAGCCTTTGATGGTGATGCCTGAAGCTTCATCCCTTTTCCATGCCCTCCTTTGTCTTTTAGAGCCAAGAAGCCAACTCGAGATGGACTTATAATTATGTGAGCGTTGAGGGTGGGGGGGATGATTCTGAGCTTGAACAATTTTTTTTAAAGAGGAATTTATAATTGATGTTACAATTCAATCAAATAATTGATTTTTTTWAAAAAAAAAAAGAGGCTGGGTGTGTCTACAATCCCGGCTACTTGGGAGGCTGATTCAGAAGGATTGCACATTTACAGCCAACTTGGGCAACTTAGTGAAACCCTTCCCCAAAGTAAAATTTTTAAAAAGGCTGGGAATATAGTTCAGTGGCAGAGCAATTGCCTACCCAGCTCAAGGCCCTGGGTTCAGTCCCCAACACACACACCTACAAAAAAAGAATAAGCAGATACCAAAGAGAAAGTAAATCAAAGAATTCAACACCTACTTATTTCCCAAATAACTGAACCATAACAGATTTAAAAGCTCAAAATATATCTTAAACTTTGCCTCTTTCCCAAGCTCTGATCCTCATCTCCTGTTCCAGAGGCCAATTCCATATTTCTATGATTTTTAGAGACATAACAATAACAATTCATCTCTTACATGACCAACAGAGATTGCCTTCCGCCCCTGCAAAGTTTTAGTCTGTGCATTCAGACTTGGGGATGGGGACCTGAGCCACCAGTTTTGCATCATGGAGCATAAAATGTCGAGTTCTTAATATACCTTCATGGTGAGACCTTGGACAAGTCACTTACACATAGTCTGTCAGCCTCTTCTTCTGTTTAAAAAGAAAGAAAGTGTAGAAAAGGATTCTGTCTTCAGGTAGTCAAAATACTAGGTGTATTTACAGTATTTCAACAATGCCCTCCCCCTAGTGGCAACTATGGTGTATGATGTGTAGTTGCAGCCCTAGGCCCATGGCCATGGCCAGGGCTTTCCTGTTTATTTCTGTTGTGCGTGGAGTATATGCTATCTCTAGATAGGATTAAAAACTACTGATTGTCCCTAAAGATGATTGAATTCTGTCTGTTTCATCTATCCCAGTCTAATGTGCCAGTGGAGAAGAATATATGGAAAAAATGGATGTTGCTCTTCCATAAACGTTTAAAGCCAAAGGGAATTGCAGCTATTTAAATGCAGAGTGATGCCCCTCACACAGTACCACCACTCAGCCTTAGTGTGGGTTGGGAAGAACTTTTCAGTTCAAAAACAAAAAACTAAAAGTTGGGTATGGTGGACATGTCTGTAATCCCAGCTACTTGGGAAGTTAGAGGATCACAAAGTCCCAACAGCCTGAGCAACTTAATGAAACCCTGTTTCAAAATTTAAAAATTTAAAAAAGGTCTGTGATACAGCTCAATAGCAAAGCACTTGCCTAGCATGTTTGAGGCCTTGAATTCAATACCCAGTACTGAAAAAATAAAATAAAAAAATCAGGGCTGGGCTTACAAGTTGGTAGAGTGCTTGTCTCACATGCACAAGGCCCTGAGTTGAATTCCCAGTACCACAAAAAAAAAAAAAAAAAAAAAAAAATTAGTCTTTTGAACTGAAAAAAAGTTAGATGACTCTAAGTTACCCAAAGTTAGGTGATAGAACTGCCTGCTTTTATTCCCCTTATTTGAAGCAGTATTTGTAACTCTTATGATCTTGCCAGATGTCATCTAGAGTATGGTATTCTCGGCTTCATCATGATAGTGGGACTCTCATTTTGTTTTTTTAATTGTTTGTTTGTTTGGATGCTGGGGATCAAACTTATGGTCTCACACTGGGTGTGGTAGCCCACACCTGTAATCCCATGCCTGTAATCTCCAGAGGCTGAGACAGGGGAATTGTGAGTTCAAAGCCAGCCTCAGCAACGGCAAGGTGCTAAACAACTCAGTGAGTCAGTAGGGCTGGGGATGTGGCTCAGTGGTTGAATGCCTCTGAGTTCAATCCCTTATACCAAAAAAAAAAAAAAAAAAAAAAAAAAAAAAAAACCTTATAGCCTCATGTATGCTAGGCAAGCACTATTCTACTTCAATACACCCCAACCCCAGAAGTCTCATTCTTAGCTACATAGAGATGGATTTCTTGGTAGTCAGACCTTTCCCAAGGTCTTACATTTGAACCATTTTCACTGTTTTTACTATAAGGAGTGATGCTCTGAGCATTTCTGCACATGTCTCTTTTTCTTCTTGGATTACTTCTTAGAAGTGAAAGTTTTGGGTCAAAAGGTAAGAATAGCTTTTTATCTTTGTTACCTATTGCCAGATTATTCTCCAGAAACAGTTGAACCGATTTAAAACACCCACTACCTTAAAATTCCCTGAAAGTTATTTTCTCTTTAGGACTAATTTATTACTTAATTTTTAGGTTATTAAATAGTCGTGGTGGCGGCCAATTTGGAAAGCAGTATGGAGATTTCTTGGAAAGCTGGGAATGGAACCACCATTTGACCCAGCTATTCCCCTTCTCGATCTATTCCCTAAAGA